CTGGTGCTACGCAAGTCTACTGTCACTATAAACTTATTGCGTGCAGTTAAAATTAATCAGGCTAAACCCTCTAGCAATTGCAATCTTCAGGCCCGATTCCTCAGGAGAAGAAGAGGTAGGAGGCCAGAGTTGTATGAACAGCTTATTCGGTACAGAAGGAAGTGGAGAACAGGTAAGAAGAATTTGACTCTTGGACGAGTGCAGTCCGGCTGCTAGGGCATCGGGTTCGGAATGCCAGAACGAAGACAGTCGTCGTCGTAAGTCCCTGTCTGGGTCGGCCTTAAGAGCCGTCAGATTGAGGTCAGCCTACTAATGCGCCTGTGTCATTGGACGGATTGAGCTCAATCCACCAATGCGCCGTCGCTCGCTGACTTGGGCCACTGTGCGGGATCGAGCGTTGATGCATCTTCTAGTCACCGAAGCTGGGTGACCAAGATTGTCATCACGTGACCTCGTCTGTGGTAAGGAGGAAGTAGGACTGCATAGCCACTACAACCTCATTTAACCACACATCACCGTCCTCGCATCCACTCTGTTGTGCAGCACACGGGCGACATAGTCGGGATCGACTTTCGAACTGTTGGCGCTAAGTAAAATTGAAACGTAGGTAAGTTTTCGCAATCTAAACTATTAATCCTACACAGTGCACCAAATGATTTTTTGCTGGCTGCTTTCAATTTAGACAGAAAACAAGTGAAAGGCGAACCAGTTTTCTCAATATATAAAAGCAGTTTATTTGGACAGACACCATGTCCTATTTTAGGCCTACTTCTAATGAGTTCATCATCACAAAACAACTTACATAGGAACTTTAGAAAGAATAATCGATGGCTCTAATCGACGGCTCTAATCGCTGGCTCTATTTCCAAATACCTCATTCTTGATCGATGAGGTCTGGGACCCTGACCGTTTCTACTAGTTAAATAAGTGGATACACTGGAAGTATGTTAGTAAATAGTCACCCTTTTGAAAAAGGAACCTTACATTTGGTCGGACAGAAAACAAGCATTTCCGATCTCTCCTTCAAAACGACATAGCTCACTGACTATGTCCCTAACCAATTTAAGGGGAGGCGTGACGTAATTGGGACCCGAAGCACCTGAACGCGGCTGAGAACTGTGGAAGGCATTTGAAGCGTACTTGCTCCATTTGTATCCCCCCGCTTTTCCGCTTTCGATACTTCATTTTTTGGAATGGGGACAGTTGACCTAGTAATGCCCTTCGTATGTAAAGTTTCGCTTCACGAAAGTCGGCGGAGTTTAGTTTATTGCCAGGCATGATAACGGGCAGGTTGGTGATTATCATCGCTTTTCTTTTCCCTCCTTCAGTGTTGCATCACCGTGGCACTGCGTCCAAAAAATGTTTTGCATTTTTCCCTCTCCTTTTAGGAGGCGGACAACGGTCGCCCTGGCAAACGTGAGCCCGGAGGCCTCAGAACGCTGCTCACCTGTCCCTTCTTCCCCGACCGACCGGCCTAGAGCCTCTGAGGTTCGTACTAGCGTCCAGTCCGTGGAGATGGAGTGTTCCTCCTCGT